GAGACGTTGATAGAGACGCGCAATGAAAATTTCTGTCGAAACAGCAGCACGGTTTTTGAGAGATCTTTTGGGAATGTCACTGGCAACCATGTTTCATCGAGTGGCTTCAAATGAAGATTACCTTAACTCACATAAGGAGGGCACATTTCCTGTGCCATCTGGCGGGCGGAAGCATTGGACAAATAGTCAAAGTATTCTATGACCACTGGTGCGCTTCATTCCGCTAAAAGGGGACTTTCGATGAAAAATTTGAAAATCGCGTTGTGTTTGTGGTGCAGGGTGCTTCAATTTATTTGTTACATAATTAATTTAACAGTGTAAATTTTTAATTTAACCATATTTTATTTCAGCAATTATTAACAGTAGCATATGGTGGCATAATGAAACGACTTCCTCTTCTGCGTCGAACTCTTTTTCCTCGTCAATAATCGTCTCCTGGTACTGCTGGTCTCCTGGTACTGCTGTTGCTCTCGGCTTCGGTGAACTCCATGTCGTCCGTTCTTTCGCTGGTGTACCAGTGTAAGAAGATCTTCCGGTGGAACATGGCCGTAAATTGTTCGGGGTTGCGTATGAAAATTTCCTGAATCGTGGACGATCGCGGTTTTCACGTTGCTGAGAGACTTTGAGTGATGAAACGACGGAGAACGGGTTCATGATGCGATTCGGGTATTCTTCTCGAATCTTCGAGATCAGTAGCGTGCCCATGTCTGTGGAGAGGAAGATATTTTGGCTACTGAATTCCGCCAACGTTACAAAAGATTAAAAATTTACCTGAGCCAGTTCCACCGCCGAGCGAGTGCGTAAGCTGGAAAACATCCAGCATAGAATCTACCAGTTCAGTACCTTTGGTGTAGTGTCGTTTGACGCAGTTGTTACCAGCATCGGACCGCCCGGAAACGAAGTTATTCGATCGGAACAGGTCGCCGGTAATGTTGATTGAGTGGTGCTGCTATCCAAGCAATTGCCCTGATTTTTTTATGTACCTACTTCTTCGGACAGGCAATAGGCGGGACTTGATGGAGACTCCCGGTTGTGGTTTTTAAAAATTGAATTGTATTGTGGCAACATCAATAACAACGCAGGCGCAGAAAAAGTTCAGTGTTGCCAGTAACTTTAAAGATCATAAAAATTGTAACCATGGGTGAAAAACAGCGCCAATGACTGCGCCCGGGTGTGCCCAAGTTTTATTTTGGCACACTGTGTAGAGTGACCAACCCCTTGATATCGTGTTATAGCACAATAGTAAACATTTATTCCATGGCTACAGTGACAGCTATTTTGTGTGGGATTGTTATTCCATAGCTCGATAATTCTTTAACTCTATGGTCCCTTCAATGTCGAGTTGTAGAGGGTTCACTGTATCTTCATATCTATTATGAAGTCCTCAATTCCTCAATCACCTTCAAATGCAATTCTGTATGGTACATCACCTTTAACTTGGCACCATCGCACTGAACCCATCTCCTCTGCATGGTCAATTGCAGTCCATCCTATGTCTTCAATTGTCAGCCTTCCTATCTTCAGCCAAATCAACAATTATTGCGTGATGATTCGCCATTCAAAGAATATCACCCACCGCTTACGATCGTCGTCCCCGGCAGTCCCCAGCAATGCTTCATAGATATGTGTTTTATTGAAATAATTAAAACAAATTTAATTAAGTTTGCATTATTTATGCCATGTGCCGATCTATATCCGTATTTGTCCTTCTGGATTGTCCGTCCGCTTTGTGTGGGTGCACTGCAGAAATTGCGATATTTATCGACGCAGATTATGTTAATTCCACACACGCACCGCATGAGAACAAAAGGATCAGGAAGATGGTGAAGAAGGGCGCAGTTGGTGGTAGGGTTCGATGATGCCCGTACAGAGATAACGTTAATTCATACATGTCAGCGACCTCTCTCGTAGAACCGACCATTGCAATAACTGCCGCTGCGATGCGTTGTTTGCAAATGATGCATTATCGTTCCAGCTTGCGGTAGACCTTCGACCTCGGCAATGCGTGTGACATTTATTACGACCCTTGGGAGCGGGATTAACCTGAAGAAATTGACCGTATTTAAAGCGTTTATGCTAATCCTCCGGAGGCAAATCAATTAGCCTTCTGCGAGCAAAACAAATTACAGGATGCATTCGGTCCCGTTTGGTTTTCACTTTGTTGTGACAGTTTTGTGATCCCTTTCTTTCAACAGTCGTGCTGCGTTGGTTGGTTCACAAATTGTCATCTTTCCAACGTCAACCGCAAAATTTTAATCTCATTACTTCCACTTGTCAGTACGATAATGGACGCTCGTTTTGTGGGGGATGATGCCGTTGTTGTTGCTGCTGCATGGATTCAGGCACCAGTCAGCTGCAACATCGCGAGTAGAATGTAATTACAACAACGGGAGTGTTTTTTGTCCCAGTGTAATCAACATGGCGGGCAACCTGTCAGCTGCTGCTGTAACCTAATTATTTATCACTTAAGTTGATTTCAAGCTGCTCTCAGCTCATCCGTCGATCCATCCATCCATTTCATCCATCCAGTGTGGAGCTGAATCCCGAAAACGGGCGAATATATATTTCAAGTGCTTGAAGCCAGAAATTCATCAACTGAAAATCTAGCCAGAGCGATGCGAACGTCAGCTTTATGAAGCCCATCAATATGTCATCAACTGCCAACAGCAGCAGCAGCAGCGGGAGTAGCATGGCCTGCTAGGATGAACGCTGAACAAAAAAAAAATCGAGCGGAAAATGAAGAAGGCTCAGAAATTTGAAATAATGGCCTACTTGAATCCATCGCCAGAGTTGGGAAAACAATGGCATATCATATCGTGACGTGGCGTGGTGCACAGCGAACGTGGCCAGGATAAACAAGATAATGACGAGCACTGATGGAGTGGATGAATGGATGGACGAAAGTGAGGGAAGTGGGCAAAAAAAAATGCTATCCAAACACTCTTGGCTCGGTTATTATCCGGAACGAAGGGTCTTTTGCTCGGGGATGGGAGGCGGCAGGAAATTAATGCATTCGATGGAGGGTGGGATGTTTTTTTAACTGATGGAAAGTTAATAATCGACTGTTTTAAGGGCTGTGATTTATTGTTCGATGATTTAATCGCGTTGCGGAACGGATGGAGAGTGAAAATTAAAAGCTCCAGTTACTATTGTTAATTAGAATAATTCCTCTAAACTTCTCAGGAGTTGTCTGAACTAGCTTGAAGCCTTGAAGCTCTTGGAACTTCTTAATAGTTTATGCAGTTAACTGATACTAATGGAACTGCCTTGAAGTTCACTGATCTTTGCTTTGCATATTTTCTTTAGTTTTCGAAATTGCTGAACGTTTCTTAAGCTATTCTCTCATTCTTCTGAATGAAATTAATGAAATTCTCTTGAAAATCTTTAAAATTTACTTTAGTTTCCTGGTTTTCTCTTAAATTCCTGATATATTTCTGAAGTTTTCTGAAATTCTTATCGAACCCTTACATGTCTTTAAACAGTCCCAAAAGTCTGGGCTTTTCATAAGTTATCGAAACTTTGCTAAATCGGACCTGCCCTTAAGATCTACTAACTTGAAGCTCTTGTTACTTTTTTTTAGCGATCCCACATTTTTTCTCAACTTCCCATAGACTTCTGTGAAGTTGTCTGGATTTCCTTCAAATCGCCTAGATATCCCTGAAATTTTCAGAACTCTTCTTGAAAGATCCTGCATCTTATGTTGAATTTAATGAAATTGAACTTCTCTGAAGTTCCTGAAGCATTGCAGAAGTTTTCTGAACTTCCCCAATGTTCCATTAGTGTGTTGATGAAACTTTTCTGAAATTCTAGGAATTTACTTTCAATCCTCGTAGCTTCCATTAGGTTTCTTCAATTTTCGTAAACTTCATGAGACCGCTCTGAAGTTCTACAAGCTTTTGAATGATGCTGATGCTTTTGAATCTGCCCTGAAATAAATTGACTTGTAATAAAGATTTCTGAAGTTCTCTGAACTTTGCACAATCATTAGGAGTTCGGGGATTTTTCTACGTTTCGATGAGTGCTTCAATAAGCTTAGGACCAAAGGTCTGGTACTTCCTGAGTCAAAAGATAAAGTATGTTTCTTAGGGACCCTGGTCTTAGTGTTAGGCTATGAGATGATTGCTTCACGAGCACTTAGATTATGTGTTAGATTTGGAACTGCAGGAAATTCCCATAGATAATGTAAAACCGTGACCTAAAAGCTGGACACCACAAGAGATCCTCTCTACCTAAGCGAAATCCGTTGGTTAAACTTTCGGGATCCAAAACTACCGTCGACCGCCAATAATAGCCTGCTCGACCAGCAACCGAACGATTCGCCAAATAAATCTACTTCCCGAATGAAAATTTATTTCCTGTACCCTCACTTGCATGACCCATTCCGGCTGCCGCCCTTTATCGCGATCCAGATCCATCGAGGAAGGAGACGATTATTCATCTTGGTGTCGTCGGTCGATGTGGTTCACGCACGGATTAGTGGGCTTCGACACACAATCAGGGACAAATGTCTCAAATATTTATCATAAATCTCATTTCCGTATGGTATCCGCCTCCCGATTTTGCCGTTGAATCCTTTACCTTCGCTTGAATGTATGTAAACGTGTACCATCACCATTGTCAGTCGTCGTATGTATCTTGACGGCGGGGGAAAAGCCAATTCCAATCGACAAACGGCTTCCACTAAATTATACATTTATCGTCTTCGGCACGACGGGAGAAAGCGATATTGCCTTCTGGCGGTTTTCCGGGAGTAGGGACGGGGGGTGACAACACATTCCGCCCGCGATGAAGATGATATTCACGTTTCGATTCCGTTTCTCGGTGTGTCCAAGTGTAAGCCGTCGTCCTCGGGAAAAGCCATTTCATGCATTATTTAGGTGTGTACGCGCCTCGTTCTTGGAAGCATATGTGCACCTTCGTTTGGTCGCAAGTGGTGATTCTGTGGTGTGAAACGTGTTACACGTAATCTAACGCACGATTTTCTCCCTTTCTCTTTGCAGAAATGTCGCGTTCCACAACACGCCGCTGAAACTGTGTTGGGAGATCAGCAGCCAGCAGTAAGCAATGACCGATGAAAGTCCTCCGCGTCGTTTGTCCCAAATCTTCGACCCACTGACGAGCCTGAGTGATCTCGAACAGATCCAGCAGCAAATCCAACAACACCAGCAGCACCTCCAGCAGCAGAACCACCTCAAATATGGTCCCGGAGGACCGTCCAATTCATCGTCCTCCTCGACATTGCTTCAGCTTCAACACCAGTTCCACCAATCCGGAAGTAGTGGAGGTGGCTACAATTACAACACGGCCTCGTCGTCGACATCACTATCATCGGCCTCGAATCAAAGTGCAAAGCTCAGCTCGAGTAGTTCTACCAGCAGCTACATCGGTGGGCCTCCACCGGGCCTTAATCGGATTGTAATGGGATCTCGTTCGACTCCCAACAGCCCGCGGATGATGTCCCGACGGGGTGTTGCTGGAGGTGCTTCCACCAATAGTACCAACAGCAGTAGACCGCCGATGGTTCCTCCGCGAGGGCCACCGAATGCGGCAGTCATCGCTAATCCCTCGCTGGTGGCACTCGATTCCGATGCACCGTGGCCGCCGTTCGGCAGTCTCACCGACAGTCTGGACGTACATCAGGTTAACAACTACCACCAGGGACTTCCGGAGGTAAGCCCGAGCCGAAAATCAAAACACCACATGTGCGCTTAGTTGGTAATTACCGTCGCTTACAATTCCAGATTAATTGGCAGGAACGGTGTCTGGAGCTGCAGCTCGAGTTGCATCGGTCGCGGAACCAGGCCGGCCGCGTTCGCGATATGCTGCGTGAAAAGGTAGGTTTGCTGTGCAACGATAATTTGGCTCGTTAATTTCCGGTTACATCGGAGGGTCCATTTGAATAATGACTATGGTGGTCCTGTTCCATCGCGGGATGGGTGATTTATGTGGTACAGTGGTACGAACCGGTGTACGATGTGCAGTGAGCTGTTCCGTACGGATGGGGTTAAATCTTATCGAAACGGTTGCTTGCGCTATGTTCTAGTGGGTCGTTATTGGATCGAGGGTTTTCGTGTGAGGGTTTTCGTTTTGATTTGTTTGTTTTGTTTTCTTTAAACTTTGGAAGTTCATGATGTACTTTGAACTTCCCTTAAATTCTCTAGACTTCCCTGAAGTCTTCAGTATTTCTCAAAAGTTCCCACAATTTCCTTAAGCTACTGGAACTGCCTGTGATCTTCCTGCATGCTACTGCAATTTTCCTGAAGTTTTCGAAAGTTTGATGATCACGGAACTTCCTTTAAAATATTTTAACTTCCCTAAACGTCTTTGAACCTCCAGGAAGTTTCCTCAATTTTCCTAATGTAAATTTATTTTTCCCTGAAGCTTCCGTCATTTTTGAGGAATTCTCGAAGCTTCGGTTCCTGAAGTTCTCTAAACTTTTGTAAATATCTGCAATTACGGTGTAGTTAATTAAATTGCTTCGAGTTTCTTTGCTCTTGCCTGATGTTCTCGGAATTTATTTATAGTAGCGATTCTCCTGTGCTTCCTAGAAGTTGTTTGAATCTTTATGAAATTCCTGATTTATTCTGAAGTTATATATTCTTCTCTGCAGTTCTCTGAACTTTCTGAAAAAAAAACTGGGAACTAATCAAAACTTATTAATTATCATTTCTTGAAATTCATGGAACTGCAACAATCTTCCCTGATGTTTCCGCAATACTTGAAACTGCCATGAAGTTAACGGAAGTCAAATTAAAAAAAAATCTTCATAATCTTACTGAATTTTTCTGGAGATTTTGCAATTATCCTCAAGTTTTCAGAACTTTCCGGAAGTTTTCCAAGAATTTTTTAAACCTCACTGGAGTTGAATGGACTTGGTAAAATTCCTCAAGTTTTGCAAAGGCATTCAAAGGTTCACATGAATTCCATGTACTTCCCTAAAATTCCAAGAACTTCTAAAAGGATCCTGTTATTTTCCTGAAGTTACAATGGAATAATTAAAGCAGGTTTAGGATTTTCACTGAAGTTCTCGATTTTATTCTCATTTTTAATTTAATTTATTAGAACTAAAGTCTAGCCTTGCATTACGGTTTCAATATTTCCCTGAAGTTATTAAAAAAGGCTCACTAAATGTTCTTAAATTTCTCAGCACTTTTTAAAAGCTCCCGCCTATTCTCTTAAAATAATTGAATTGAATCTCTCATTTCTCATCTCTCAGGGAACTTTATAATTTTCAAACTTCCCCAATCTTGCAAGCAAACAACCCAAGTAACCAACAAGCCCGCTAATTCGCCTTTTTGTAATATAAGACTAAAATGCGGCTAATATAAACCTTAGCATGCCCTATGTTAGCCGTGTATCAGCCTTATATTGCAAAAAGGCGAATTAGCGGGCTTTTTGATTACTTGGGAATTATGCAGCTTAAAAGCTGAATAAGCCTGTTAATAGTTGCATCAGGCTGATCTGCAGCTTGAACTGTTTGTTGGGATCTTAGACCTTCCCTGACGTTCCCTAAGTAGTCAAAAGGATCTTTGAACTTCCTTCGAGTTGCGATATCGTCTCGAGAAAGGAAACACACATCGACTCTGTGCTCGCGGAAAAGTCCGTACTGTGCTGGTGAAAACGCACTCGAAATCGTCTGAAAAGTGATCACCGGGTTAGCCGGAATCGCGTACGTTGTGGAAGTGATAGGGTAAATGTTGGCTTCGGCACCCATTGACTGTTTTCGGCAACCAAAATTTAAACGTTAATTTCACTATGTTTTCCCATCAACGCACTTCCATGAATGTGTCCAAACGATTGTTTAGCCTTTCAGCTTCAATCTGATTATATTTGAACGATCGAGCAATCCAGTAATGCTACATTTTTCTTCAAATAAAGCATACGCACTACAAAATGGGGTTGATTTCGAGTTGCCGATAATAGAACAGCTGGTTAACACGCAGTTCTAATGGGAAGGTTGCCGAAGAAAAAGAGACTGCCGACAATAGTCACACTCACCTGAGAAGTTTGGAGCGTTGTAAAAACGCTTTCAAAACGTTTTGAAAAATTCTGTCGATTGGAATGGATAGAGAAGCAAGCAGCAGATGAATGTAAACAAACAGACACATCATATATGTGCGTGACGCTGAGAAAATGCTAGTAGAAGTGCAGACGCTGCTTAGATTGACGAGAATACGTAAATTCCCCTATTTTCCATCGCTGACAAGTTGGGTAAAGGGGTGAAAAGTTGAATTTTAACTGGGTTCTCAGCCTCCATTAGCAGCGAAGGAGTTTTCTTGCTGACATTTTTTTTTTCGCTCAACCTCTCCCTCTCGCGCTGAAGCGATAGCTCTCTGTCTCCCGCTTGCGTTTGCACTTTTTGGGAGAAGTGCAGTGGTGTTGGTGTGAGTTTGGTGGATTCGATTTTTTTTCGCTCTCCCTGCCTGGATGCGTTTAATCACCAAGAAAAGATAGAGGTGTGTGATTGTGTGCGTTGGCAGTAGTTTGCATCGCATCAGCAAGACGTCGGTGGCAGTCGCACCTCGTCTCGGGTCGTGTTGTTCTGCATCGCGGATTACTAGTGTGCGTGTGCAATTATCGGTCCCGTTGAGAAGAAGTTAGACGAGTGTTGCGTGTCGCGAGATCGCGATTCATTCAAAAAGCTGCATACAGTCAATAATTGCGCTGTAGTGTGTTGGTGTTTTTCCTCAAGCGAGCTCAAGTCCAAAGTGTCACCGTTCGAGGGATTGTGGGGGAGGATAGTGTGTATTGTTGTTCGTAGTCGTCGTCTTTTTCCCCGAATTTTCACACGACGCGGACTCCCCTGAATCCAGAGAGAAAGAGATAGAGAGAGAGAGAGAGTGAGAGTGAGAGTGAGAGATAGGGAGGAAGAAGAGCACAATCCATCGTTCATCAATCGAAAAAGTGGTCACGTTTCCCTTCTGTTTTATTTGTTAATATGAGACTACATGGTAATAACAGCAACTCGATTATTAAAAAGGAGCTCGTTTGCCTAGTAGCAAACCTTTTTGCTTACTGAGCAGAAGACCGTGGGTTCAATCCCAAGCTCCTTCGAGTTATACGATCGTTAGGACATCAATTCAGCTTATCGTTTACCAAAACGAACCCTGCTGCAAACCCAACCCTATTACGCAACATTCCTGTGATTCCTCGTGGAAGTGCAGAAGATTTCTCGACTTCCATCAAAGCGAGTGTCACGTCAACACATTCCTACCCATTCCTTTCTTGACCTGCGTTCAGGCGCGGCTGGCGCTGGTATTGCCTAATGCGAGATCACCAGTTTTTACACATTGAGGATGATTGCTAGTCCCAAGCATCGTCTATTGGTTCTCTGTGTAATTACAGCTGGTCTGACAATAACAGAGTAGCAACCGTGGGCGGTCAATCATGCTCATGCTCATGCTCAAAAGGATCTTTGAACTTCCTTCGAAATTTTCGGAATTTGTCGTGTTTAATAATTTTGCAATTTTTCTGAAGGTAATGGAAGCATTCTGAAGTTTATAGATCTTGCTCAGAACTTTCTCAAAATCTCTTGACTCGAAGTTCTCTGGACTTCCCTAAAGATCTCGGATCGTCTCTAAAGTGTTTCTTGGTTTCCTTTTTTCTGGAAATAAATTGGACTGCCTTAAAGTTCTGTGATCTACGCTGCAATTCCCGAAATGTTCTGAAGTTTTTGGAACTTAACTTAAAAGGTTCCCGCATTTTCCGGATCTTCATGGAACTTACCCGAAGCTTTCAAAATTTTCCTAAAACTCTTGGAACTTTGCTGTAGTTTTCGGAAATTTCCTGGTTATTCAAAACTTCTTTGAAAGTTAAGTTAAGATTTCCTTATTAGGGAGGCTTTCAGTCTGAGGCTGGTTCGCCTCCGGTTCTTAGAAAGTTCTGTAATTCCATTGATGTCAATTGAACTGCCCTGAGGCTCTCTGATCTTCTCTGTGATTCTCGGTTGCTCTTCTGCCACCCACATTAGATTCGGATCTGCCGCGTTACAGCAAAGTGACAGCTAAATATATTGTCTAACTGTCAAATTAACGTCAATTCAACGCAAACGAACCTAATGTGGGTGACCCTTCGCAATTCTGCTGAAGTGGTTCTCTGAAGATCTGAAATAAACGAAAATGATCGAAAAATCTCGATTTCCCTCCGATTCCTGGTACTTTTTAAAGGTTATTGAAATTTTCCTAAAAACTTGTCCTTACAGACTATTAAACTTCCAAAAAGTCTGGACTATCCTAAAGTTCTTGGAATATTCCTGAAGTTATTGGATCTAGCCTTAAAATATCTGAGCTTCCATGAAAAAATCTATAAACCTAGCTTCGCTGAGCTTCGTGAAACTTCTTTAGAGTTTTTACAATTTTACTCAAGATTTCTGGGCATCTCTGACGTTGTCTTGACTTTCTAGAATATCCTTAAAGTTCCCAGAACTTTTTAAAATTGCTGTTCAATTTCCCTTAAAGTTCTTGAAGCTTCCTAGAAGAGCTCGATAATTTTAAATTTTGTTCCCGCTGTCGGTTCAAGAAACGTACCAGAAATTCTCAAAACTTCCTTTGTTTTTTGTAACTTAATTAAAGTTCCCGCAATGTTCGTGAAGTTAATTGAACTGCCCTGCAGTACTCTAATCTAACAGTTCTTGGAACATCCCTGAAGTTGTCACAAGGGTATTTCCCTGAAGTTTTCAAAAAATTTATAATATTAACGGAACTGTACTGAAGTCTCAGAATTACCCAGAAGTGCACGTAACTTGCCCTAAGATCTTTAAGCTTCCCTGTAGTTTCCTATACTGGAATTGCCCTGAAAATCTCTAATATTCACAGAAGTTCTAGACATTTTCCTG